ACCTACGCCCATTGACTCAGTAGGAGAGGGTTGAGGACTGGTCAGGCATGGTGACTCATCTCCCCTCTCCCTGCCTAGAGACGGTTCCAGTAGTGAAGGTGGAGAGTAAGGCTTGTGCCGCTGTTCTGTGGGTAAAGCTGAGGGCATTAGTCCCTTGGGCTGTCTGTCTGCCACTTTGGGTGATCATTAAAACTAAAAATGGAGACACGGCAGCAAAGAACCACAGCCGGGAGCTCCATGCAAGAGCATAGATCCTGTTACCTGGAGGAAGTCTGTTATGGGCCTTGATATTCCACACTAGAGAATGAACTTGCTGTTTGTACACACAAGCCCAACAAGCTCTAAGTCCGGCTGGGAGCTCTTTGACTTAGAACAGGCAGAGGAAATGAACAACGGTGACCACCTGAAACCCAAAGGATCCATGGGGATTTGTTTCTTTACACACAGCTTTACCAACCAGTAGGGTTTTGATAAGCCAGTGCTCTCTGAAAAGGACAAGTAAAGGAAATGTGACTCATCCACAGGCTTGGCGAGACACCCTGTTTCTCATGGCCAGTCTAGGTAATCAAAATGGTAACATCTGATTTTAAAATCTATGAAGACCACTAATACCAATGGGCTAGTTACACTACGGAGATCAATGCAGCCTGGTGAAGACCCACTAATTCGAACTGAGAGGGCACTCTTATCGGCACCTGTAGTCCTGCTCCTAAGAGGAGTAAGGGAAGTTGACGGGAGCATGTACTCCCCACGACCTCTTGCTGTGTGGATGGCACCAAAGCACGATTTAAGATACTTCGACTCCATCTACGTAATTCATGTAGCTGGAGTCGCGTATCTGAAGTCGGCTTTCCCCCTTTAGTGTGGACCTGGCCAAGGTGACACACACAGATGTTTTAAGTTGATTACTTGCATAAGTGCTTTGCTGAGCTAGGTCTTTCACCAGGCAGTCATTTTGCACTTGCTTTGCACCGGTGCCAGTCACCACACAATGAGCAAGTTGGAGGAGGAGTAATCCCAGAGGGTGATAGTGGTTTAACGCCACGTTGATGGGGCCAAGAAGCACAGTGAGTTAGACCATCTTTGGCTACTCTGATAGACACTGCGGCTATGTCTACACTGGTGCGATCTTGCACCAGAGATATGCAAATGAGCCTTATTTGCATATCTAGTGAGCTGCCATTTTTGCAGAAGAGGCTCTTGCGCTAGCAGGAGCATCTACAGTGCCCCTTCTTGCGCAAGAAAAATCCTCTTGCGCAATGCCGCTCTGCCTGAAAATAATCAGCGTAGTGGCGTTGTGCAAGAGGGTTTTTCTTGCACAAGGGGCAGCGTAGACAGTTCCTTCTTGCGCAAGAGCCTCTTCTGCAAAAATGGCAGCTCATTAGATACGCAAATGAGGCTCGGTGATATTCCACGCTTAACCTCATTAGCATAGCTCTGGTGCAAGGTCGCGCCAGTGTAGACATAGCCTGAGATTGTCAGTAGGTGGGAGAAGGTAAAGAGAATCATGTAAGAAGCCTTTAGACAGCCTGGTATTCTGCAGGATTTATAGGAAGTGTTAGAAGAGAGTTTACTTTTCTAACGTCAGACATTCCTTCTCTTTTAACGCTGGGGGGGCCATCAAATCTCCTGAGTCTGCGGTTGCCACAGGCATGGGGAACCACTCGTAGCCTTAGTGCTGTGGTCACCAACTAGTAGATCGCGATCTACCGGTAGATCTCGGAGGCTCTAAGAGTAGCTCTTGAGCCCACCCTGAACTGCGCGCTTGCACAGTACATTTACATTAGATTTCCTCATTTGAGGAGCAGCTACTCACCGAGCAACAGCACAGGTGAGTAGCTGCGAGGAATGGTGGGAATTTTTTTTTTAAAGTAGCAGTATAAGGATTGGGGATAGCAAGTGATGGAGAGGAGGAGAATAGAGAGGGCGGGGCTTCAAGGAAGGGGCTTGGTCTGTCATTTAAAAAGTGATCTTGGGTGTAAAAAGGTTGGAGACCACTGCCCTGGTGGGATTCAGATGTCCCCTTGTCATAGTTCCACCCAGAGAAAAACGGTCGAGAGAGACACCACTTTAAAATCTAATTGAGGAAGAACTCCGGCTGCCAGCTCTCTCGGTCTCTTTCATAACAAGACTTCCACTGGCCTTTCCCATTTTTAAACCCTTTGAACTGGAAATTAATGTGCCATTCTGGAAGATTTGGGCTGTATCACTTTTCTGAAAAGGCCTCATTTTACAAAGCTGACATTTAAATTTTTTTTTTTTTAGGAAGGGGGAAGATATAAAGCTGCCGTACGTGACATGTTCTACTGATGCCTATCTGCCGGGTGAAATCGTCGATGGCGGTGGTATTACCACGAAAGGTTTTTGGCACAATATGAAATTCCCTTATGTCCGTGACCAGGATGTGAGAGATCTTGCCTATGGTCAGCGCAGATAGCGGGTCTAGGGGCAGAATAGGCATCGGCAGCCAGGAATCAGAGGCCAAGTTGAGAGACTGAGTCAGAGGCCAAATGCCAGAGCCGGTGGTCAGAGATCAAGCCAAAAATCAGAACCGAGCATCAAACCCAGGAGAAGTGGAATGAAGCAGGGCAGGGCATGGCCAGGGCTAAGGCTAGAAGAAGGTGGGAGCCATCTTGGCTGTGGGCAAATGCTTTTAGCTGCTGCTGTTGGGTTTCAAAGCCAGTCTGCTGCGTCTTCCAACCAATCAGGGAGGCCATGATGTAACCAATCAGGCAGGCTATAGGCCAGCTGTGCTAGTTAGGGTGCCAGAAACCGGCTCCTCTACTGGCCCTCATACCTGACACTTGGCACCAAAAATAAAACACTCCCTCCCCTTGCTACGGTCGCCTCTGCTGCCTTTCCCAGCTTGTGCTGAGTGTGTTGAAAAGTGTAGGAGTAGATTATATGGATCCACAAAACCCACAAAACATGGGGAGTACGCTCAGTGCATTTCTCCCATGCCTTTGCGCCTGACCATCAAAGCAATGAGCAATTAACCCAAGTCCAACTTCTTGAATGAGCAGCACCCTCCAACTCCACCTCTAGAGGCTTGCAATGCAAACTCTTTTACGAGGCACGGCCACCTTTTGCACAGCTGGGTACCTAAGATTAAGTCCACTAAATACAGTCCTTGTATACTGATCACACTGGGGTAGGCAGACACCTGTTACAATAGCCAAGAAAAGAGCAGTCCTTGTGGTTACCATTAATATATGTGTATAATTCAATATATGTGTTATCAATCAGTTGCGGTGTAACCTTCAGTCGGTACACTGAATTCTATAGACTCTGATCCAGGGAAGGTATTTAAGCATCTGCTTAGCATTAAGCGCAAGTAGATCTATTGACCTAAATAAAGCTGTGGCAGATTACATGTTGAATCGCTCTAGTCTGGAACTCTCTGGTCTGACAACATCTGTTATATGGCATGATTTTAGTTAGCTGGCTGTCCACTTATCATTGATGTGGCCAAGTTTTCCGCAGTTCCATAAAGTTTGTTTACAGCCACCAACCACCTGTTAGGTCCTGAGGGTGCTGGACTAGAGAGGTTCAACTTGTAGGAGTTGAATCCAAATCGTTGAAGGCCCAAACCAGTGTCTTGAGCACCAGCCCATTAAAAATGAAAACACTTTGACATAAGAAAATAATTCAGTTTTCAAAGTCACTCTGTTGATTAACAAAATCCCCCTTTTAGGATTTACATACGCATATAATAGCATCTTTTTTTAATCCATGCCAAACATACCTATTTCTTGCAAAAATCTAGAACAAACCTAAATGTTGTCAAAAAAATTTCTGAATCTTTTCATTTCAGGGTTTATTAGCAACAGACCATGCTGTTTGCAAAATAGTATTACACTTTGATTAATTTTATATTGCCATTTGAATTTTGGTATATGTGAGATTATGGCCCATCCCAATCTATCTAATAAGGATGCAGCCTTCCAGCTTTCCATTTAAATTTCACCCAGAAGGTTGTAATCATGAATTTTCTGAATTAAGTGCTCGGCTTTGTATGTAAATTGAAGTATTAAAACAATGAGATACAGCACAAAGTTTTTAATTTTAGTCCCAGGCCTCAGATTTAATTTAAAAGTCTTCAATTATGCATTTGGTTCCTCTCTTTTTCCTTATAGAGGTTTAAAACAGATTTAATTATCCGCTGCAACAGGCAGACACTGCTTCAGTCAGACTGTCTGAATGAATGTTTTAAAAAAGTGCGTGACAGAGTCTTTATGCAGATGCGCCCATATCCCCCCATGGTACTTTTCTACTTGCGTCAAAAAATGCATCTTGGACGACATTTCCATTGGATTCTTTATGGAAGATATTCCACCTGGATTCCTTGTCAAGTCTGTCAATGGAGTGTTCCTTAATATGGCTTCAGTTCAGCAAATCATTAAGCATATGTGTAACACCAAGAACTGAACCCGGGACCTCTGGAGCTTAGTGCACGAGTCTCTACTGCTTGAGCTAAAAGCTAGTTGACTCACAGCTAAAGCTATAGAACAACCTCATGCTCTCTGTAAGTGTCCTAAATGCCAGTACATGGGGTGGCGAAGCACACCCAGTAGGTGCATGGGTTACATATGCTTAACTTTAACAAGTTAACTCTGTCCTGATTCAACAAAGCAGGTGCTTATTTTTAAGCGTATGCGGAATGTGGGCCTAAAACCAGGGATTACTAATGATCCCTATTGATGGTTTCTTGCTGTTTTCTTTCAAGAAGAATATTTGGATGACTCCATGGAAAGTCAAATGAACTCAGCTAACCAAGATCTTTCCCATAATCAAGTTCAAGGATGTCTGATTTTTATCAACAATTATTAATAAGTTGTAAAAAAAATGATTTTGATCAGCAAGATGATTCTTGGGACATTTCAAATGAGCAAGTAACAGTTAACAGGGGAACTGGTTAGCAGGGGAACTGGGCCATAATCTCACATTTCTTTAGACAGCACAAGATTGTTGAGACCAGT